CAAGGGAACGAGTCAGCTGGGAATGGAGAAATCCACAATGACCAGATAATGAAGCATTCATTCACAGAAATCTCAGTTCAACTGAAACAGAAAAATACATGTAGTGGTTCAGAGCAAAAACGATGCTGAAAACGAATCTGGCAGATGAACGAAGAATTTGGAAAAGACGAAATGAGAAGCAGCTTTCGCAGTTTAATGACGAATATAAAGGAGCGGGTTATGCTGGGATTTTAGCAAACCCTAATTTTGGAGAACACTTTGAGGAAATTGGGCTGTTAGATTGGGTTTTAAACCAAACCTTTTACTGTTGGGCCTGGCTATGCTAGTATCTAATCAGAGCACAACTGGTGGGAGTTGTTACTTGAGAAATGGTGTTCTTCCCAGTTGCACCATCCAAAACCCTAATCATAAAAATTGCAGTTCAATAATAAATGAACTTTTAGGACAAAAAAATTGGACTGCCATCACGTTCGATCTGTTTTGTTCCAGTTCAAATATCAAGTCGATCCATTTTTCCCCGTATTTGCATCGTATTTGCACAATTCAATTCATAGGATCAAGGAATGCACCACACTATCATCTATATTCGGTCCGGTAATGATCCAATCAAACAACAAAGACAATAGTAGTCAAATATCAGTTGCCCTTAAAAGATATGCATCCCATAATATAGTACTAACACTCAAGACGACAACAAAAATTCCATAGGCAAACTCAAACATTCTGTCTTCCACGAGAAATGTAATCCTGTAGATTTTCTTTTAACCCTCTACTACTTTCAGCCCCCTACTAAAAAGGCTTAGACAAACAAGTTGGGTCTGGATGCCTTGTATGTGGTCTTCAGCTTTCTGGTTGGTGGACGAACCTTCTTGAACACCAAGGGGAACTTGATCTTCGAGTTGTGGAACTGCTTGGTGCTCTCCCTCTTGCATAGCTTAGCGGGGATGGTTGCGGTCTTGATAATCTGGATGCAAGGAGATCTGACCCTGTGGCGAGAAGCCATCTCGCTGTACATCTGTTCAACAGCACCGTTCAGAGTGGTATCACGGAATTCCTTGTACATGTTGTGGTAACCTGTCCTGCTCTGGTAGCGCAGCCAAATTCCATAGTTGTTGATCTTCGTGGGATTCTTCTCGAAGATCTGCACATGTTCTGGGAATATCAGTACCAAGCATTCTGGATTGCAGGAAATGTAAAGATTTAAATTTTCAAGACATCAATCAATCAGGGTGCAAAAAGACTGCATCAAACAGAAATAATGAAAAACCATATTACATTAAGCAAGCAAGCAATAACTCATTTCCTTAACCAAGTACCTAATAAGAGACTGGTGGACTTTTACTACAAATATGTAGCTGCTCTAGTGTTTCTCCAGGGTAGAATGCCTAGCACTAGAGTGATGAAATGGAAAGAGCAATGAGTATTAGTATAGCTTGAAGGGAGCAAGTCGAACAGGGAACCACGGAGCTTTCACAAACCAGATGACGAAACGAAGCATTGCAGTTCCCAACCAAACCAAAGTTGAACACTATGGCACTCTCGTCAGGTAGCACACATGAGAAAAGGACTTAAATAGTTGGAATGTCCAAGGAACCCTCAACTTGAAGCTGAAACTGCCCCCTATGTTTGCTTGGGCTCTAGAAAATTGAAGTCTTTTTTCTACTCAGACTATAGCAATCCCCTTTTCGCAGACGCACAAGATAGAGATTTAACTAGACAGAAAATGAAGCTACTCCATTGTTCTCGGCCAGCCAAATGATCATCATTTTAAAAATTGGACACAAAAACAAGGAGAACAAGTTTCCACAGCTCAAAGAGGACATCAAATACCCGCAACCGCAAGACAGGAACCCTTCTACTTTAAGTTTCAAGATGTTCAACAACCGATCCGACACAATCTTAAGATCCTAAAACAAAATTTCTAACCCATATATGAAAAAAGAATTACAAATACAAAAAAAGTTCACCTCGTTGATAGCAAGAATCTGACCATTGCTTTTCTTGACCTTCTTCAGCTTCCTCAGAAAGTACCTGGTCCAAGATCAACCAGCGAATTTTGAGCAGCAGAATAAACAAACCTCACTCAATTAATCAAACTACAGAACAGAGAAACAATGCAAAAAGGACAACCCACCAGAATTTGGACTTGGCGCGAACCTCATTCGTATTCCAGAGCTTCATCCTATAGATCTTCGGATGGTCATCGCTCTCCGTCGGAAGAGCTCGCCCGACGACCTGGTACTGGTGGTACTGGACAACCCGAGAAGTAAAAAAAAAAAAAAAACCAACAAAACCAAATCAACAAACTAACGAAAAGACCACGAATGGAATCCTGACTACATTAGACCAAAACGCCGATGAACCAAGCTAACAATAAAACAAATGGGAGCCAAAGAACCCCATAGAAATTTTGAACGGGAAAGTCGAGAGGCCGAAAGCTTTAACATACCCTGTAAGCAACCATTTTCGCCGGCAGAGGAAAATAGAATGGGAAGTTCCCTTCGCTTCAAACTGTCTCTGCCTTCCCCTCTCACGCCGCCGATCGAGAACAAGGAAGAGGGTTTTGGTTTTGTGGGCACTGAAGATGGTAACCCTAATTGTAGATAGTAAGACAACACGACCGTCGTTTCGAGGTTACCTAACCTGAAATGGGCTTCGGCCTGGAACGTTTGGTTCATAGCACAAAGCCCATGTAGCCCATAATCTAACTTCACCTTTGGGCCGTGAAAAAGTTCTAGCCTTCTCGTATCGACAGTTGTTCTCCATAACGGATTAACCGTTAACGGCTATTTTGCAACGAGAATCGGACAACGGTCGGTGCCTTCCTCGCAGAATCGTCAGTTTTCCCCCCTTTCAGTTCTTTCCCCTCATTTGCTTCCAGTCTCCAAAGGCTCGACTACGGAGAAATCGAAAGAGAGAGAGAGATGACGTCACTGCCGTACGCCGATGTCGACAACCACTTGAGAGCCTTGGCCGGCCGGGCGGAAGGATTCGGCCGGATGGCCATCGGCGGTCTTCACGGAGCGCTCTATTCTGTCACCTCCTTGGCAGGTTCTCGCCCTATTTCTTCTTTCTCGAAGAACATAAGTGGGAGTTTGTCTAATTCGAAGAATTAGAGTTACTTGAATTCCCATTGGCCCTTTTTAAGCATTGTTGAATGAATATGCTGTAGCAGCAATTTAAGGAAGATTAGGGTTATTGGATGAATGTTGATAGGTTCATTGCCATTGTGATAGATGATGGCCCTGGATCACTCCGAGAGGGATGCAGAAGGAAGGAGCCACTGTGGATTGTGTTCGACGTCTCCGGGACGATTGAGCTCAAGACGTTCTTGAGTGTTTCGTCTTACAAGACGATCGATGGGCGTGGCCAGAGGATTAAGTTCACGGGGAAGGGGTTGAGGCTGAAGGAATGTGAGCATATAATCATCTGTAACCTGGAATTCGAAGGCGGGAGAGGGCATGACGTCGATGGGATTCAAATCAAGCCGAATTCGAGGCATATTTGGATCGACAGATGCAGTCTCCGTGATTATGATGATGGCCTCATTGATATCACTCGCCAAAGCACCGATGTAACTGTCTCTAGGTTTGTGTATAGTGGCTCTTTTCCCCCATTCTTTTATAGGTGGAAAACACTGGATTATGGTGGTTACATTTGTTTGCAACTCTGCAGGTGTTACTTTGCTCAACATGACAAGACCATGCTTATTGGGGCAGACCCTACTCATGTGGGTGACAGATGCATTCGGGTGACAATTCACCATTGCTTCTTTGATGGAACCCGGCAGAGACAGCCTCGTCTTAGATTTGGGAGAGTTCATCTTTATAACAATTTCACTAGGAATTGGGCAATCTATGCTGTCTGTGCTAGTGTTGAAGCTCAGGTAATTATGATGGTTTCTTGTGCTATTGAGCATTTGCAATAGCATCTGGCATATGCTAAACTGAGTTACCGATATTGTTCTGCCCTTTTATTCTGTTTTCCGCCACAGATTTATTCAGAGTGCAATTTATATGAAGCGGGAGAGAAGAAAAAGGTCTTTGAATATTACACAGAGAAGGTAACCTACACTGCAGTCCTCCTATTGTAAAGACAACTTTGGAGAAAAATGAAACACGTGATACGACCTGGAGTCAAGTACTCCTGTTAGCTAGTAGATCAGACACAAACATTCCATACGCTGGTTAACGTTATATGGCTTCTAATCACTCTTTTTTGTTCTTTGGCGTTCAGGCTGTGGATGCAGAAGAGGCTAAGTCTGGCTCTATAAAATCTGTAGGAGATGTGTTCCTGAACGGAGCTCTGCCATCTCTACAACCTGTTATGGCTGAGCATTGTGTGTTCCATCCAAGTGAACATTATGCAAACTGGACAGTGGAGGCTCCATCAGATTCTCTAAAGGAAGTTCTTCAAGTCTGTGCAGGTTGGCAAGCTCTTCCTCGACCCAACGAGATCATCCAAACTAGTAATACCTAGTTTAATATTTCCTCACCCTCTTCTTTGTAGCTTCTGTTTGTATTTCCTACATATGTATACGTCTTTGTCAAAGGCTGTCAACTTTACTGCCTCAAATGAAGGGTGAAAAAGGAAGTTATGAAATTGTTCTCCAGCTAACTGATCCAGTTTTTCAATGTAACCTTGTCAACTGTGATACATAAGCTTCCCAGAAAATGTTCAGTCAACTGTTACTTTTTTTAACAGTAACTCTTATCACTTTTCTGTAGTCATAGTTCAATTTTTTTCTGTTTTTCTGGGCTTTTCTAATTGACTTATACTCGTGATTCAGTGTTTTTGTCGACTTTTTGAGTTAATCTGCTCGCAACCATTATTATTTCAAGCATACATTGAGCCAAGTTCTGCCAATAAATAAAGATAGAGCTTCAGTTTTGGCTTATTCTACCATTTAAAACGTATTAGTGACAGCATTAGAAACAAACCAGTAGGTGCTATCAGCCAAATAATATGCTGCGTAGTTTCTTCCATGGGGATAGTATGTCTCTTACATCTTACTTTTATTACTACTTCGTTGTCACATACATCCTCGAGATGAGTTTCATGAGCAAATGCACAAGAACCATGAAACATATCAGACAGGTGATTCTCTACGTCATCTGGACCGAACATCACCAACTTTCCCGAACTGCTGCCTTCTCCACTCACCATTCCAACGTACCTACCATAAACTTCTCTATATACAGGTACGAGTTTCTTTGCTATTGAAACCTTCAATTTCATCCCTTAAGTTCTCATTTTGTACAATCCAAGATACCTGTTTCCTGTGTAATTCTTCAAAAGCTGCATTAAACTTGCAAAAACATTCTTCTGCCGCTTCTAGCTCTGGAAGAGGCATACTCGGCAGGGCTGAGAGGACCTTATTCCAGGCAAACATCTCGTAGTTCGCAGCATGTTTGTTAAGCTTCTTGGCATGCTTGAACACCCAATCTTCGCCCAGGATAACCCTTAGCCGGGTTGCACGTACCTTCTCAAATATGTATTGCAGGTTGTTTGCAAGGAAGAGATATGAATGGGACACATCATCATACTTTTCTGATTTCATGTCAAGCTTGCATAAGAGAACCAGTATGAGCCAAGTTAGTCAGGCTGATAGAGCTGGTGAGGGCCCTCCATCGAAGGAGCTGAGGAGTTTTATTAAAAAACAAGAGAGGGAGATGTTTTAGATGAATGTGGAGTAAGTGTAAAGTGGAGGACGACATTGACAACCTATTACACTGATCATCTTTCAACCACAATTGGTAACCCATTGGCTATTGCAGTGTTTCCAGTTCAACTCCCGATTCCGCTTGGATTCTAACCTTGAGAAGTTTGTTCAATGTGATCGTCTTCCAAACCACAATTGGCTGCCGAGATCAGAGGATTGTGTTCATGGGGAAAAAGTTTTTTATGGCCGGAGATTTTAGCGCATCGTCATTCCTCTGCAACATAGAGTTGGAAGGCTAGAGGGCTCTCGCGGCGCTGATTCGGAATCATGTCGAGCCAAAATTTAAACGCACATATGGTATCCGCTGTCTCTGGGGTTTGTTCTCCTGTTCCTCTTGTTTTTGCTTCATTCATTTCTGGGCTCTATGATATCTGTGGGAGTCGGTTTCCTCAAATAGAGCTTTGCTCCATCTATGGCATTGCTGATCACTTCACTGTGAGTTCTGTTTCCAAGTGAATGATATTGTTATCCAACCTCGGAACTGAGCCAACAGAAATGGGCTTGAAGAAAATGTGACTTTGTCGTGTTGTCTAGGGAGCAGTGGAGCTAATTAGATGGATCCCATTAATCAAATGAAAATTATAGCGCACGGAATCATCTCGAGACTTGCTCAGTCAACAATGGCCCTTGTCTTACACGCTTGTTTGAGTTTGCACGTTAGTTGGGGCTGGCTTTCCCTGCTTGACTTATCCTTGTGCTGTAATTCTGTTATTTTGTTGACCTTTTTTGAGTTTACCCTGTTCTGGCTGTCATTATTTCTAAAGGGTTCCACGCCTGATTCATATTAGCCAATGCAATACAAGCATCATAATTGGGCCAACCATGTGAAAGATTGAAACTTTGTGATTATTGATAATAACATTGCTGCACATTCTTTTCTGTCAAACTGGTATACATCAATGTATTTTCTTACACCATATACTATTATTGTTAGTTCATCGTGACATAGTTCCTCGAGACGAGTTTGATGAGGAACTACCAGACGAAGAATCGCCATGGAAAAGATCTGAGAGGTAATTCTCCAGATCATCTGGACCAAACTTCACCAACACCTCCAAACTCTCTCCACTCAGCGTTCCTGATCCCACCACAAAAGTATCATAAAACTCTTGATATGCTGGTACGAGTTTCTTGGCTATCGACACCTTCAATTCGTCTCTGAATTTCCGGTTTGGTACTACCCATGACATCTGTTTCCTGTGTGATTCTTCGAAAGCTGCGTTGAACTTCCGAAAACATTCTGCTGCAGCTTCTGGTGATTGTTCTTCTGGGAAAGGCTTGCTTGGTATCGACGAGAATACCTTATTCCACGCCATTGTCTCATAGTTTGTAGCATATTGCTTGGCCTTCTTTACATGCTTGAACACCCAATCCTCGCCTAGGACGACCCTCAGCCGGGTTGTGCACACCTTCTCAATGATGAACTGCATGTTGTTTGCTAGGAACAGGTATGAAAGGGACACGTCTTTGTACTGTTCTGCTTTCCTGTCAAGCTTGCATAAGAGAACTAGGATGAGCCAAGCTAGTCGGGTTGAAACAGCTGGTGAGGGACCATCAATGGCGCTTGTTGTTGGACTTTCGTAGTAAGATTCTGGCAGCTTTGAGCTGCTTTCTGGAAGAGAGTCGGCAATGATGCCTGAAAGAACGCTGCTGTAATCCGCCAGTGATGATAAGTAAATCAGGGCTGATGCGTTCAACGGATGAATTCCTCCGCCAGGAACTTGAGATTTTGATGAGTCCTTCTGGATTGTTGTTTCGAACTCGGATAGAGTTTGGCGAACTGACTCGCCAAGCTTCAGTAGCGATGACTGAGCTTGCTGTTTTACAGAGGAGATGGATTCGAAGCTGAAAATAGATTCTATTTCTGGCCACATATCAACCAGTGCTTCATAAATGTCCATCAGAGGGAAGATTCTGTCATTTTTCAGGTTCTTGTTCTTGGCTACGAGTTCAGGAAACCTGAACAAGTTCGCTGCTGCTTCTTTCACCACCTCAGAGAAGCACAACTCTCTGATCCTCTCATAAGCTGAGAAGACATAGTCACACATAACTTTTTCTCCAAGAAACAAGTTTTTGACTGCAAGATTCACAGCATTCAGCCAGTTCTTCACCATGTTCTCTAGAGCTTCTGAATTCAATCTCTGGATTTGGGAAGCCTTGTAGTGCTCAACTCCTAGCCTGTGCAGCGCTTCGTCCACATTGGATTTCCTCATGAGTAGGTAAACCTTGACACACTCTTTGGTATAACCAGAAGTGATCATACAGTCAGCTATGGACTTGATATCCGATAAGCCACCAACTCCTGGAACTCTCCTCTGCTGCCTCACAAGAACTGATTCGTCACGCGTCATGAGCTCATCTTCTTCACACCGAATCTCAGCCTGATCGTCTTCGGCATTGCTCAAAGACCCTTCTGATGAGGACTGACCTGAAACAGACTCGAGACCAAGATGATCCCAGTTTCCTGACAGGACCTGGTAGAGCTCCTTCTCCAGCCTCCTCATGGCAATCTGGATAAGCCTCTGACAAACCGCGAGCTTCTCAGGATCGGAATGTTGTGACAGCAAGAAATGCATGGCCCTGCGAAGGTCCTTGACGCATTTCATGAACTCGCTGGCCTCGTCCTTGTTGTTTTGGAAAAGGGAAGTGACCTTGTTGACCGATGAGGAGTCCAGATCCCACTTGGAGATGATGGATTCTGCATTTTCAATGTCCTCCTCCATCATTGAAGCAGAGAAGGTGTGGTGGATAGGGGAAGAGGGAGGGAAGTGAGAAGGCGAGGCTGAGAAGGAAGCGAGAGGAGAAAGACTCTTGCTGGTGGATTGGAAGAGATGAGACATCCCTTTCTTTGTCAGGGTCATTTTCCTCTCTTTTTTTCTGGGGCTTGTTCAGGTTTTTCTGGAGCTTGGGGCTGAAGAAAGGAGAAATGTGGGAAATTGTTTGTTTTGCTTTGAGGTTGGCAGTTTGGAGACGGAGATGGAGGGCACTTATATAGAGGGACACAATGTAGTAAAATTTGTTCCTTTTGCTTTCTTTCTTGAGAAGGCTCAGGGAGGCTTCTGATTGGGGCAAAAGTATGAGGAGAAAATTATCATTATTCGCCTGCAAGGAATCAAAAGTCTACAGTTGACTTACAAAGAGGTAAGGAGCAAATTTAAACTTCTTGGAGCTCTTTCCTCTTTACTTTCCAGATAAATTAGATAGGTACTCTCTATCCATTTTCTAGAATGTCTTTGGAATACTTGTTTTCTATATGGAAAATCTTATGCCTCACTATTTGTGAAACTGTATGGTACAGGCCCGGAAAAAACCTTCAATCGGAATCTAAGTCGGTTGGCGGTTTTCGTGGTATGAAACGTTTGAATCACCGTTATACTACGATTATATTTTAACATACAGTAGTATTCTACCACTTACTTTTTTTGGTACAACATCTGGTACGATTTTACGATGATTGATTAATCGAAATAATGAGATAACGTGGGGGAAATGCATATGATGCATCATATGGGTAAATATAAGTGAATTTGCATGAATGATTAATGGAAAGATTAGGTATCCAATGAGAGACTGTTTGGTGGTGTATTAGTTGGGCTTGACTTGTTCTTTCACATGACCAAATTGGTTAAATAACAAAACCTAAACCTGGCACGATCTTGCTTGTTGCCTTTCTATTTTTCAACACATATATATATATCAACTGACTCGGGGAAAGAATGAACAATCCTTAATCACAAGCCTGAAAACAAACAGAAAATGACAACTAACTTAATACTAGTTTAATCCTATGAAACCTCTGTCCCATAATTCAATGATTATTAACTAACTATCGAATTTGAGTTGGGAGAAGACCAACGGCAGCAGAGGAAATCGTGGGCACATGAAACATGATACTATATAATAATTAGGTTGTTTACAGCGTGTTGTTAGGGCTTCTGATCTGGACTTAGTCAAGAGACTCACTCGAATGACTCTTAAGACAATAAGACTCATTAGTTTATAGGAGATAAGATATAGATTTATGAAGAATGTAGGTTGATCGAGATGTCCAGACTCTGGGAGTAGTGATTAGGAACCTAATGACTTCCAGCTCATCAGATCGATTATTCGAGTGGTCACTGGTTGATACGGTGCGTGATTTTGTCTGGCTGTCGAGCAATAGGTACATAGGATTGATCATCAGCATATTCTAAACAAAAAAAGTAATCACTTGTTGTTCCTTACTCGTGACGGAATGATGATCATCTCACAATCTTAGACGAACGAACTTCCTTATATAATGTTATCTCGAGTGAAATCTATATGTTCCAAATGTATGGTTTTGTGCAATCTTCAGTGAAATCTATATCCTACTGTTTATCACAAGTTTTACGAGAATGACATTAGTGAAAGACATTCAGCAATGGTCCGGATCGAATCAAACTAATGAGAGTTGCGGTCCATTAGTGAAAGACATTTTAGAATTAAGGATCAGGCCATTATTGTATTCAGTCCATTTGATCCGGTCTAAATATCAATTCGCTTCATCATTTCTGTAGTAATTGTAAAACTTATGAAGACCAAAGACTGTCATGCATTATACTCGATCGGTCTGGTGTGGTCCGGTAACGACTGTGCATAATAAACTTTTAGTGGCTGGGTTTGGTAAGGAAGAGAGAATAATGTGAATTCAGCAAATCGATCAAATAGTTGTGTGTCCTCACTACTTGACTGACTTGACTCCTCCATCTCCATGAACGTTGTTTCTACTTTTACAATCTGCAGGCCAACGAATGGGAGAAGAATTCCTTGGTCACTTCAAATCTTCAATAATGGGGATTTAAACCACCCTGTAGGGAACAAAACTGGGCTAAACATGACCGTTTCAACCGGATGATAATTTGAATCCAATCTATAAATCTAATTAAATTCATTCACTAAAAATTCCAATTAATCCAAATTTTCAATTGATTGGTGGATTCATGGATATGATTGATGAATATTTGAAAAATTACAGTTTGTTACCTATATCTTTTATATTTTAATGCCTAAATTTTGATTGTTTATCATTCAAAACCTACATGTTGGTATCTAATTTGCGCTAACCAGCACCGTATATCTTCTTACTCAATATATATATATATATGGTGACGTTTTCGGTGCACTCACTTTTTTGGGTGCATTCAGTGCACTCGCTTCATAACCGTCATTTTAAACATGCGATTTATGTCAAAATGATGTCAATCATCACTTATGATGTGATGAACAATAACACACATGAATTTGCACAAAAAACCATTAAAGATTTACTTTAATTTGAAGGATTAGAGTTTAGAGATTTAGGATTAGGGTTAGGGTTAATAATTTGGGGTTTACAGATAGAACTCAAAATTGGAGGTCTATGGCTTAGGGTAATCCGCTAATTAGTTGTTATCATATGTTATATTATCATATTACACTAATTCTGCAAATTAAAATTCAAAATCCGACACCTTAAGACTAGTTTTTGAGTTGGGTGCATTGAACGCACTCATTTTTGTGGGTGCACCGAAGTAGTCACCCATATATATATATATATATATATATAATATAAAAATCAGTAAAGTGAAAGGAAGGAAAGGAAAAACATAAGACGTTTACGTGATAGAGAGACTACTCAACGAAGAGCCGAAGCTTTTGGCGATCAAACAACTACCGAAATTTTTGCTTAAAAGAAAAATGATGAGATGTAAGAATAGAATCACAATAGATGAGGAAGAAGTCGATGATTCCCAGACATGGCTTTCCCCAGATAGGCAAAGAGCAGCACTAATGCAATTGGCTAAGTCATCTGGGACCATGACCCCGCAGGAATGTTTGAAATCAGCAACAAATGTGGAAAGGGGATTCCACATGTATTAGACTGTGTATTTTAATTGGTGGATCGTATCGAATTACAGGATTTTTTTGTTGACTTGACTTGTAAGTAATTGCAACTTAATTAAACACACATGCTTGCATTGCATGGGCCATTACCAATTGATGGAGATAAGCACATAATTAAACACACATGATTTCTAGCTTACTACATAGTTTGGATTTATGACTGATAAGGTTACATATCATGATTCCTATTTATAGTATCCATCAATCCTATCTGTAGTTTAAATTTATTAGCACTCGTTGCAACTCCACAAGCAACGAGAAAAATTACAAAGATGTGGTGGGAGAATTTCATATTGATTTGCACTCGTTGGCCAATGAGTATATGGATCAGAGGATGATGATCTACATATTTGGTGACCGACAACTATTAATTAGAGAATTTACAAAGCTTCGGCATCTAGTTGCATTGATTCCGATGCCACTTCCATGCTCTCCTACAGGGAGCGAGAGTTTCTCCATGGTCTTCCTATTTGAAATGGAGCGAGAGAAAGATGAGTAAGAGTGCAAAATCAAATTCGAACAAAGAGATCGGTTTCAACACAACTAAAACAAATCTATTAAAAAAAGGATATCATTAGAAGATTCTCATATGTTGCACCTTGGTCCTTGGAAGAATGGTTCTAAAATTTGATAGAATTATTTTCAAAAAAAAGTATGCTTATTTTGAATAGTAATCATCTGAAATCAAATTGAAATATAAGAGAGAATTAAAAAATAATAAATGGATAACTGAAAGAACTCACAATTATCCTCTTGGACCAACACCCTTTATGTATTGTTAAGTTTGTGAGATTATGCTTTTGAGATGCTGACAACATATCCTTTTTTATGATTCTCACGCCTTAAAGGAGTAACTATTAACTAAACATGTTTGATAATAAAAAACACAATCAAAATTTGCTCTTAGTCCTTTGATAATCATACTTTCTTCAAAAACACTCACCCACCAACTAACAATAACTCAGTTGTCATTGAAAAAAAAAAAAACTGAAAGCATAATCGTTGCATTGTAAAATTTAGGAATTTTCGCATTGTTGCTTGATTCATCAAACGGTGATCTGACCATATGATACAACCACCCAATTTATTGCATCTGGAGCCTTTGATTTCCTACAGTGGTAAAATGAAAGCGCAACGTCACCTATTTGGCAAAAGCAGCTTCATTCATGTCGTCTTGCAACAGAGACAGAGACTAAATGGAGTAAAAGGACCCCATTGTCATAAATGAAACCCAGCTGCAGCAGCAGAGTGGACGAAGAGAAGAGCTCTACCAGTACTAGCCTACTGGTTTTACAGTATCCCAAGCTCCCCTTTCTAAATGATGACTGAGGTGACTGAGGTGCTTAAGTTTCTTTCACTCAAGAAGAAAATCACAGCCATGATGATCTTCCTTCTCCTCCTCCTCTTCTCCTGCATCACTTTCAGCCTCTGCAAAGTCGTGTTCCGAAACAGATCACATTCATGCTGCTACATGCTCCACTACGAGTGCTACAAGGGCACCGAGGACAGGAAGCTCGACACCATGACCTGCGCCGAGCTCCTGATGAGGAACAAGAACCTTGGGCTGCAAGAATACAGGTTCCTCCTCCAAGCCATCGTCAACTCTGGCCTTGGGGAGGAAACTTACGGCCCAAGAAACATCCTGGAAGGCAGGGAAGCCACTCCAACCCTCTCCGACTCCCTCTCGGAGATCGATGACATCGCGTTCGACACCTTGGATGCCCTCTTCGCCAAGACCGGAATCTCCCCAAGGGATATCGACATCCTGGTGGTCAATATCTCTCTGTTTTCCCCTGCACCTTCTCTGACTTCCAGGGTTGTCAACAGGTACAAGATGAGGGAAGACATCAAGACGTTCAACATTTCTGGGATGGGGTGCAGTGCAAGCATTATCGCGGTGGATCTGGTGCAGCAGCTGTTCAAGATTAACAGCAAGGCTTTCGCCATTGTGGTGAGCTCGGAGTCGATTGGACCAAACTGGTACTGTGGGAAGGAGAGGTCCATGATTCTGGCCAACTGCCTGTTCCGGTCCGGTGGGTGTTCGATGCTGTTGACCAACAATGGGAGCTTGAAGGGGAAAGCAGTGATGAAGCTGAACCAATTGGTGAGAACCCATTTGGGAGGAGAGGATGATGCTTACAACTGCTGCATTCAAATGGAAGATAAGGTTGGACATGCAGGCTTCCTCCTCACAAAGGGGCTCACTAAAGTTGCTGCTGTAGCCTTCACATTGAACCTCAGGGTTTTGGTCCCAAAGATACTCCCAGTGAAGGATCTTCTGCTTTATGTCATCCACACTTACGGTCGAAAGAAGGCGAAAGGCGGGGGTGCTCCATCGGTTGAAGCGGCAGGAGAAGGGCTTAACATGAAGGCAGGAATTGAGCACTTCTGCATACACCCTGGTGGGAGGGCAGTGATTGATGGGGTTGGGAAGAGCTTGGGGCTGAACGACTATGATCTCGAGCCATCTCTAATGGCATTGCACCGATTCGGGAACACCTCGGCTGGTGGGCTTTGGTATGTGTTGGGGTACATGGAGGCCAAGAAGAGGCTGAAGAGAGGTGACAGGATATTCATGATTGGGTTTGGTGCAGGTTTCAAGTGCAATGCCTGTGTGTGGGAGGTGACTAGGGATTTGGCTGATGAGAATGTTTGGGAAGACTGCATTGATTCGTACCCTCTTCCTACAATCAATTTTAGCCCTTTCCTGGAGAAGTTTAGCTGGATTAACGACGAGGGACGCACCCATGTCGATCTGACTTCTGCATTTAACAAGGATTGAAGGCTTATTCAGAAGTTGCTTAAGGTAATCAACTGCCTTTCAAAGGCACGATGTATTTTACCTTATTTCTAGAATTCATGCATTTCAAAGTACTGCAAATCAAGGTTGGATCCTGTTCTGGGTCATATCATGTATCAGCATTTTGTTAAGGATTGCTAGGGTCGATGAAAAGAAGTGTATCGAAAAGGATGGCTAGTGTCGATGAGTGCTTCAACACTTAAGTCTGCCGTGCTTTTCACTTTCCGATACAAAGCTTTATGAGCTTTGCTGCGGTTTACAGGTAAGATGTTACCCAGCACTGCCCGTACAACAATCCAGAATAATGATAATACTCACAAAGAACCCAACTGATTCCCATAGAGCAAAATAGCAATCCATGTATCATTACCAAAACTTTTGAATCGATGCTCAGATGCTCAGTTCACACGTTGACTTGCAGAAATATGAGATTACAAACGTCAAAATAGTTCATAGTACGAAAATGAGATTCCTTCATAACTCTCTAGAGATCGGGAAATAGCATACGGGAATTTCATGGCTAATTCTACACCTTGATTGCATACTTTCTCTTGGGGAAGTACATTTCCCTCTTCTTCTCCCTCTCCGTCTTCAGCGATTGCTGCAAACGTAAAACAAAGATGGAACTTATTCAGGGAAAGACCGATACAAAGCAGAAGCAAAATGTAGATATCAACTCAAGCACGAAAGTGGAGGGAGAAAGGCTACTTTTACTTGAGACCATTATAAGAAATGAAAAGAATTCCCAATAGGGGAAAGACACTACTATTGTCACCGGGATGAATACAAGGTTTCACCATAAGGATTCAATAACTTCACTAGCCAACCAAAACCCAGAGAGAAGACAAACAAAATGGAAATGAATCTCAAGTTACAGGGATAGGTAATTAAAAATCCAGGCAACTACATGAGATGCAAGAGCCATAACCAACTAGCTTGAAGGGCATGGTATCCCAACAACAGGATCGATTCTGATACGATTATCAACAATCAACCACTATTCCAGACTTACACAGTAAACTGCAGGTAGTGATGCTAGCCAAAACCATGGTACAACAAAAGCCCATATAATTACAACACAAAATTTGCATAGTCACAATGGGTGAAATGTGGAATTAAAAGAAGTACCTGGTGCTTGGTAAGCCTCCTCCTGATGGCTCTGGTCTTCTTGGGACGAAGATCCAGAGGCAAGAACTTCTTGTTCTTGTAGGCTTCACGCAGAACAGATTTCTGGGTCTGAGAAATCACTGTCAACACTTGGGCAATCGACAAGCGCACCACCTTGCTGCACAAAAAAAATCAAGCAGAACACACAAACACCATCAGCCTCACAGAAAAATCCAACATCAAACTAACTAGACATGGCATACATGGTAAAACTAAAGCTAAAACGGCGCATCTGAATAGAATATCATCTCAAGCAACAAATCAGCAGTTCAGAAACGAAAAATCATGGCATTAACCACATTCTAAGCACAGGGCAAGAAATCTCGAAAGTCAGGGAGGGAGGGAGATTACATCTTGGAGAGCTTGTTAGGAGCACCGCCGGTGACCTTAGCAACGCGGAGAAGGGCGAGCTCCGCCTTGAGATCCTTCAACTGGTTCAAAAGCTCCGCCTTCGACTTCTGCCTCAGCTCGTGTACCTTGATTCTGGCTGTTTCAATTATTTCCAAACAGCATGAACCGAATTAACAAAGATCGGGAATGCTTCAAGGCTTTCAAACCAGAGAGATCACATGGGCTAATACGGTGGAAGAATTACTTACCCATTGCTCTCTTTCAATCTTCTGAACTCTGGAGACGATGGCGGCTGCGGCAACCCTTTCTTCTCAATTGTCTCCGGCTGCTAAACCTAGCATGGCGATGAAATTTGGGTATTTATATATAAACTTGGAATATTTAGCGTTCTGCACTGGGCCGAGCTTTTTGTGCTTACTTTGCTTTGAGTTGGGCCGAGCTCAAAGGGCTGGATTTGTGCCGTTTTGTGCCTAGAGCCCCGACGCTAATTCATTACGCATTTGATTAGTCAGTAGGCCCACTACTTGGATAATAGATAGGCACCAAATCCATATACACCAAAATATTCATGGAAAAAGCCCTCTACATAGAAAATATTGGCCAAAGGAATTTGTGACAAATACAACAATATTTATAGTCTATCTCGGATTAGTGAACATTTTTTTAGTCATTAAAAAGTTATGTCAAATAAAATAAAATTTTATGACGTTCGGATTAAGAAGTACAAAGTTATGGTCATCCAAAGTTATGGTCAACTTCCCTTTCTGCAAGTACAAACTAACTAGACATGGCATACATTTGTCTGGTTCATTATCTCAGAAGATTCCAGTATTAATGGGTTTTCTTAAAAACTGTTTTTCTGTCTGGAGTTTGGCCACAATGCTAGCATATATGCTTTGTTTCGTTTCATTGATTTGAACATCTATGTCTCATAGTGTGAAGAATCCAATACTGTCCTGCAAACACGAATCCCATCTATAAACAGCAGATGGTGCAAACCACATTTCTTCACCTTCAACCATCCATACAAATCTCTGAAAGTTAGAAGCTTCTTCCCAACAATAATGGGTCCTCATTCATGGCTTCTTAGGTTCATAATTGCAGCTACACTCACTGCAATTTGCAGAACAGTTGAGTCCGGCATATGAAGCTGATAGGATCCTGAAGCTGCCAGGACAACCAGAGGTTAGTTTCCAGCAGTACGCCGGGTATGTTACTGTTGATGAAATCCAACAGAGGGAGCTCTTCTACTACTTCGTCAAAGCTGCGACCAACTCTCCAAGCCTCTCGTTTTGTGGCTCAATGGAGATATCTACTGAAGTTCAGATGATCATTAAGTTGTTATATAACTGCTGTCATGATTTCTTATGTGGGTTTCTGAGCTATTAGGACCTGGTTGCTCTTCAGTTGGAGCTGGAGCTTTCTCTGAACATGGCCCTTTCCAGCCAAATGCCGCAGGGGTTCTGGTCCATAATGACTACAGTTGGAACACAGGTTCACGTCACATTCTGCTCATACATCTCTTTTCCAGTTCCCCATTTCTCGACCTACTATACACACTTTTATCCTGCTACAGAAGCAAACATGCTCTACTTGGAATCCCCAGCAGGAGTTGGATTCTCGTATTCTGCCAACACCTCTTTCTATACGTTGGTCAATGACTCCATAACAGGTCGGTCTGAAACGTGGACAAATCTTTACATTCCTCAAATGGAAATCAATTGTCACATGAACAAATAGATCCAACTAGGTTGTCTGTCTTCTTATTATCAGCAAAAGACAGCTTGGTTTTCCTACAAAGATGGCTAGTCAAGTTTCCTGAATATAACAACAGAGATCTCTTCATCACCGGAGAAAGCTATGCTGGTGTGTAAGTTATGGAGTACATGATTGTTAAGAAAGCCTCTGATTCAAAAATCTTAGACTTCTGTTCCTGATTCCCTTTCCCACCAACAGGTCACTATGTCCCACAGCTAGCACAGCTAATTGTGGAGTCGGGATCAAATCTCTGCTTGAAAGGCATCACTGTAAGTTCACTGCCACAAAGTCACAGGGCCATCATCAGCAATCCTGGCAGTGAGACTGTTTCATTGATTCTCTTCTTTGTGGTGTCGTATTTCAGATAGGGAACCCGTTGTTGGAGTTCGACACAGATTTCAACGCCGAAGGACATTTCTACTGGTCTCACGGCTTGATATCAGACCAGACTTATCACCTTATCAATACAATCTGCAATGTCTCCCAGATCATGAGAGAAAGCTGGTCAGGCAACTATTCCAAGCCATGTGAAATGGTTGCAAATCTGATTAACGCAGAATGGGCCAGCAGTAACTTGGACGGCTATGATGTCACTTCTGATGTCTGTTTGTCTGATGGTGAAACACAGTTGGGTTCCCAGAAACAACATTCTTCGTTAGCTTCTAGTTTCCATCCAGTTTCGTCTCTCAAATCCGTACAACGTGCTCCCAGAAAGAAAGTCAGTCTTTCTTTTCATTGATCTGATATCCTGTTGAAATCCATCCGGCATATGATCAAGCATATTGGATTGGTGGGTATGCAGGAAGCTGGTGGAGAGTCGATAGACCTTTGTGTACAAGATGATACTTACACATATTTAAACAGGAAAGATGTCCATGAAGCTATGCATGCCAAGCTTGTTGGCCTAAATAGTTCTTGGAGTTTCTGCAGTCAGTAAGAACTAAGAACACATAGAACCATTCCTACATTACCTGAATCTCTAGCTGTTGCTATTTGCTAAGTCTTCCAAACTTAATGTTACCACCAGACCTTACAGGATCCGCTATCGCTAATTCGGTTTTGCAGGGTGATGAATTATGATGAATACAATCTAGAGATACCAACAATTGGCGTGGTGGGCTCATTGGTGGGATCGGGGATTCAAGTACTAGTGTACAGCGGGGATCAAGACTCGGTTATCCCCTTCATCGGGACGAGGCATCTTATGAATCGTTTGACAACGGAGGTGGGATTGAACACACCCGTGCCATACAAGGCATGGTTTGATTATGACAAACAGGTGGGGTGGATGGACACAAGTCTATGGGGAGAACAATCAGTTGTCATTTGCAACCATTAGAGGAGCCTCTCACATGGCTCCATTCTCCTCTCCCAAGAGGTCACTCGCATTGTTTGCAGCATTTGTTGCTAGGAAACCATTGGCAACTTGATCTACCTCTACCATCAATCATGGAAATCCCAAATTGTAAAAAGTTCAATAATTTTCCATGCAAGGGAACCAACTAAGCCAATACATGTATAGAATGAATGCCTTGATGTCATAAAATCAAGCAATCAATTTCATTATCTCCCTATTATAAGCCGACAAAGGAAATGCTCAGCTTACTCGCGAATGAATCCAATGCAAATTAACTGATGCCACGGCGAAGAATTTCGTACCTTTGCTAGACGGAGGAACTCCGGCTCCGCCGGCGTCGGCCTTTCTCTGATTCTTCCACCAAATACCGCGGCGGAGTTCGGCCGAGTACTGGAGTTTTTGGCAGGGGAGGTTGATTTTGTTGAACGGTCCCAGACGGGTTGAGGCCCATCGGAATAGTTAGTCTTCAGCCTGCTTCCGTTCTGCGTAATAGGCCTGGTCCAATGCCGCCATTGGAATAGTCCCAGATCTCATGGACCGATATCAACAAAACACAAATGACAAGACAAAACCCACTGAATCATGCAAACTTCATGCAGTGGCGCCGAGAGAGATCTACTCTGGCTCTCCATTTCCCACGGCTTGTAGTTGTAGTCAGCAGAGATTCCAAACTCCCTTGACTAACAGGATGTCTCTTCGATACTTGTCTTGCAATGTTTGGACCGTCGTCTAGGGTAAGATGAGTTTCCAAATTTGAAAGATCGAAGCTTTTCTCTTCAATTCGTTCACCGGAAGCCTCGCCAAGTCGTGAGGTAAGTTACTTTCCCAGGGTTTTGCTAATTTAGCATCTCATGACTTTCCAAGGAATTTATTTTTGATTGCATTGATTGATGATGGGCAGGAAGTTTCAAAGGGGACAGATGTGTGCATTACCAAGGATGCCTAGGATGGGTTGACACTGATAAACAGGTTGGTGCCTAATGATGTATCCATATTCATGTTTTAAGTTTGAACGCTTTAAATTTTAAACCCATAAATTGCTTTTCTTTGAACAGCTTGTGGATGGACAGATGCTTATGGTTAGATGCTGGCATCAGAGGGGGTCGCCTAAGGTTCCAAAGAGAGCTTGAGCTGACAATGAACTAGTCTGTGTTCCTGCTGGTAGTAAATAATTCAGACTGACGGTGTTTAACGTGTTTCTGGGAAGTTTTGGAACATTAGGAGTTCAAGGTTTTGGTGTAACTTAATGAACTTACAGGTCTGTCTGCATATTGATTTTAATTGTGATGTCACTACTGCAGAATCGGTTGTTTTAGAGTTATGCTGGGTGTCATATAAAACAACGTTGTAATGGTTGCTAGACTTGGAAATGAATGGTAAAAACATTAGTTGTTGACAACCCAGTTTTATTTGGACAGTGATGCAAATAATCTAAGGAAATGGAACAGAGCCATAATCCAAGGAAGCCGGCTTGGTAGAACATTAGGCTGAGGAAATGCTGTTGTATCCTTCCATTTGTCATGTTCTAATATAGATGGAAGCTTAATTGGTTTTCAAAGAATGTTTTATTGTCTGGAATCAGTCACAATGCTTAATAGAGGTCAACTGATGGACATTCGCGTGGCATGGTCACAATGCTAACATATGATTCAGCTATTTTCATTGATTCGTACAGCTATGTCTCATAGTGAGAAGAAGACTTCAATACTGTTCTTCAAACATGAATCCTGTCAATAAATAGAAGATGCCACAGACCACATTGTTTCACCTTCAACTATCCATACAAATCTCTGAAAGTTAGAAGCTTCTTCAACACCATAATGGGTTCTCATTCATGGCTTCCTATGTTCATAGTTGCTACAACTCTCGCCGCAATTTGCAGAACAGCTGAGTCAGCATATGAAGCTGATAAGATTGTGAAGCTGCCAGGGCAGCCACAGGTTAGCTTCCAGCAGTATGCAGGCTATGTCGCTGTTGATGAAAACCAGCAGAGGGAACTTTTCTATTACTTTGTCGAAGCTGCGACCAACTCCAGTTCCAAGCCTCTTGTTTTGTGGCTCAATGGAGGTATCTACTGAAGATCAGTTTATCATTATGTTGTTATAGAGCTACATGAATTCTTAAATGGGTTTCTCTCCTATCAGGACCTGGGTGCTCTTCAGTTGGAGCTGGAGCTTTCTCCGAACACGGTCCTTTTCAGCCAAATGCAGCAGGGGCTCTGGTCAATAATGAATACAGTTGGAACAAAGGTTCGCTTCACATGCTGCTCGTATCTCTTTTACAGTTCATTTTTCGATCAGTAATCAAGAATTCTTCTGTTTGAACGTTTTTTGCTGTTGCAGAAGCAAACATGCTGTACTTGGAATCCCCAGCAGGAGTTGGCTTCTCGTATTCTGCCAACAGCTCTTTCTACAAGATGGTTAATGACTCCATAACAGGTCAGTCTGAAATATTGACTAATCTGTATATCTCAAACGGATATCAATTGTCACATTATCAGAAGAAGAAGAAAATTCAACTGGGTTTATCTGTGTTCTTATTAATTTATCAGCAAAAGACAACTTGGCCTTCCTGCAAAAATGGCTAGTCAAGTTTCCGGAATACAACACCAGAGATCTTTTCATCGCTGGAGAAAGCTATGCTGGTATGTAAATTCTCGAGTCCACTATTGTTAAGAAAACACCTGGTTCAAAAATCTTAGAATTTTGTTCCTAATTCTTTTTCCCTCCAACAGGACACTACGTCCCGCAGCTAGCCCAGCTAATTGTGGAGTCAGGATCAAATGTCAACTTGAAAGGCATAGCTGTAAGCTTAACTGCCACATATCAGCAAATGGTGACACTCGAACGACGTTTCATTAGTTCTGTTCTTATGTTGGTGCTGTATGTTGCAGATAGGGAACCCATTGTTGGAGTTCAACACAGATTTCAACGGGAAAGGAAGTTACTACTGGTCTCACAGCTTGATATCGGACCATACTTATCACCTTGTAAAAACAATGTGCAACTTCTCCCAGATCACGAGAGAAAGCTTGCTGCGGCCGAGCAACTTGTCCAAGCCGTGTGAATTCGTTGCAACTCAAATAAGATCAGAATCGCCCAGTAAAAACTTCGATAGCTATGATGTCACTTCTGATGTCTGTTTGTCAGATGGTGAATCACAGTTGGGTTCCCAAAAACAGCACTCATTAGCTTCTAGCTTCCATCCCATTTCGTCCCTTAAATCCAAACAAAGTGCTCCCAGAAAGCAGGTAAGCCTTTCTTTTTTTGTTGATTGCATCGAAACCCATCTGGAATACGATCAGGATAGTAGGGCTATGCATGCAGGAAGCTGGCGGGCAGTCGATAGACCTTTGTGTACAAGATGAGACATCTACGTATTTGAACAGGAAAGATGTACAAGAAGCTATGCATGCCAAGCTTGTTGGCGTCACCAGCTGGGGTTTCTGCAGCGAGTAAGAACTAAGAACACATACATATGTTCGTTACTATGTTACCTGCATTTCTAGCTGCCCATGGACTAGTATTGACAGGGTCTCTGGTCTCTCATTCGGTTTTGCAGTGTGGTGAACTATGACCACAGAAATCTGGAGATTCCAACAATTGGGGTGGTGGGTTCATTGCTGGGTTCAGGGATTCGAGTACTAGTCTACAGTGGGGATCAAGATTCGGTTTTGCCATTCATTGGAACGAGGATTCTGGTGAATCGTTTGGCAACAGGGATGGGGTTGAATACAACCGTGCCATACAAGGCATGGTTTGATTTTGACAAACAGGTGGGTGGATGGACCCAAGTTTATGGGAAGAACAATAAGTTGTCATTTGCAACCATCAGAGGAGCCTCCCACATGGCTCCATTCTCCTCTCCCAAGAGGTCACTCGCGTTATTTGCAGCATTTGTTGCTGGGAGACCATTGACAGCTTGATCTTTCTCAGACTTGGAATACATGACACTAATTAGTCAAGATTATTTATCTCTTGCACTATGAATTTGTGCAAAACTGTAATTTCAATTTTCTTGAGGCAACTACTATGCCTATATTTGTATAGTTACAATGATTTAAAGTCACATGGCCAATTGAAAATATTCAGTGATCTCGTGTTTGAGTATTATTCAGGATCTGTCTTATTAATAATATCCAGCGTTTTGAGTCTTAATTTTTACATTGTATTTAAAAAATTGACGATTCTGAAATTCGATTTTACTTCGCCTGGATAGGGAGAGTCTTGGAGCAAGAGACGAGCGGGTTAATCCCCGATAGCAACACAGCAATTTGTACGCTGCAAACCCGAATTCAGCAGCTGCAGCCACAGCTTAGTCCAACACAGTGTCACGATGATTGGGAGGTATGCATGCATGAAGCTGGTGGAGAGTCGATATACCTTTGTGTACAAGAAAGGACTTACGCGTATTTGCACATGAAAGATGCCCAAGAAGCTATGCATATGCCAAGCTTGTTGGCGTCAATAATACTTTGAGAATCTGCAGCCAGTAAGAGACTAAGAACACATATACTTACCCCTACGTTATCTGCACTACTAGCTGCTACTGTCAAGTCTTAAAGATTCAAACTCTTAGTCTCAACACTGGACCTGAGACGAGACCACGAACCAATCTCGACAGAATCTCTTGCCCCTCGTCTCTTTTGCAATGTGGTGAATTATGATCTCAGCAGTCTAGAGATTCCAACGGTTGGGGTGGTGGGTTCCTTGGTGGGACCGGGATTCGAGTGCTGGCCTATAGCGGGGATCAAGATTCGGTTTTCCCATTCATCGGGGCAAGGATTCTAGTGAATCAGTTGGCAACAGAAATGCGGTTGAAAACAACTTTGTCATACAAAGCATGGTTTGGTTATGATAAACAGGTGGGTGGTTGGACCCAAGTTTATGGAGGGAACAACAATTTGTCATTTGCAACCATCAGAAGCGCCTCTCTCAAGGCTCCATCATCCTCTCCCATGAGATCACTCGCATTATTTGCAACATTTCTTGGGGACACCACTGGCGACTTGATCAGGATAAGTGCGCATGCAGCTTATAGGAAATGTGACGAAACTATACCATCCAACGAAGCTGCCGGCTTGATACTTTGCCAGCAAGAATCAACCTTGTGTCCTACCCATTTGTCCTCTTCATTAGACAACAACTCCTGCTGTAACCAAAACTATCTTTACCATTGTTGACATCGATCAGCCATATATCCATCCAAGGAAAAGAAAAGGAAAATGCAAAAGACGGGCTCTATTGTTGTTTATTGTCAGTTGGTTCTTTTTCTTAAGGGAATTTCATTCATTGCCTGCAAATACTTGAGTGTGGTCACAATGCTAGCATATTCATTATGCTCTATTTCACTCCTTGATTTGAACAGTTCTGTCTCATAGTGGTGAAGACTGCAAATACTGTCTTCTGAATCCTGTCTCATAGTTCTCATTTGCAGCATTTTTTTCTTTGGATTCATAACTGATTATAGAACCAATTGCTTAATGATATCTCTGAATCATCATCATTCATCAATATACATAGAAGACATGAATCCCATCTATAAACAGCAGAACTTGGGAATCACATCTCTTAACAAAGCAACCAACCATTCAATTCTTCTGAAAAACCTTGGGGCTTCTTCACCACCCACCATATGGCTTCTCATTCATGGATTTTTATGCTCATGTTTGCTGCATCTTTTATCACAATGTTCACAGGAGGTGAGTCAGCATATGAAGCTGATAAGATTGTGAAGTTGCCAGGGCAGCGAGAAGTTGACTTCCAGCAGTATGCAGGGTATGTTCTTGTTGATGAAACCCAGAAGAGGAAACTTTTCTGCTACTTCGTGGAAGCTACAACAAACTCCACTTTCAAGCCTCTTGTTCTCTGGCTCAATGGGGGTATATTCTGACCTGTCAATCATTATGCCGATATTTGACGGTTTTAAGTGTCACTAGTTTTTTGGCCCGCGCTCCGCCGCGGTAAGAAACTAACGATTTAGTTGAAATCAAATAATAACAAAATTATTCATATAAGATATATACATAAATTGCACGTAGTGTTCGAATTATTATAAATTGCACGTAGTGTTCGATTTAATTTATCTATTGCGTCTTTTTTACTGCATTGTGTGCCATCAGGACCTGGATGCTCTTCTATTGGACTTGGAGCTTTCTCTCAACATGGCCCTTTCAAGCCAAATGCAGCAGGGCTTCTCGTAAAAAATGACTACCGTTGGAATAAAGGTTGCTCAACTCTCTTTAGATTACAGTTCCAGTTTTGCCAGGAAGCCAATGATTCATGTGTTACTGTTTTCCACTACAGAAGCAAACATGCTATACTTGGAGTCCCCAGCAGGAGTTGGATTCTCCTATTCTGCCAATACTTCTTTCTATGAATTAGTAAATGACACCATTACAGGTTAGTTGAGAGTTCTGGAATGAAATATGGAAACTTGCACCGGAAATGCTGATCTCAAATTCATACTTCTTTTTAATAGGACACTATGTCCCACAACTAGCACAGCTGATTGTTGAGTCGGGATCAAATCTCAACTTGAAAGGCATAGCTGTAAGTTTAATAGTTTATCCGACAAATAGCTCCTAGAAGTTCAGCCAATCCAGACACTGGGAGTGTTTCGTCAACTCTTGTCTTCTGTTCTATTTTGCAGATAGGAAATCCATTGTTGGAGTTCGACACAGATTTCAACGGGGAAGGAGAGTACTACTGGTCTCACGGCTTGATATCGGACCAAACTTATCAACTCATCAACACAGTCTGCAACATTTCCCAGCTCAGGAGAGAGGCCATGTCACACACTCTCTCAGAGCAGTGTAAAATGGTTGCTACTCAACTTGCTGGAGAAATTCCAAAAAGGAACTTTGATGCGTATGATGTCACTTCTGATGTTTGTATTTCACAATTCGGCATCAAGAAACAGTCTTTGGCTGCCAGTTTCCATCCAATCACATCCCTCAAATCCAGCCAAGGCGCTCTCAGAAAGCTGGCAAGTCTTTTTGAATGATCAACTGCACTGAACTTTACTATATCAGCCGCACTCATTTGATTCTTTGTGCAGGAAGCTGGAGAGTCGATAGACCTTTGTGTACGAGCTGAGAAGTACACTTATTTGAACAGGAAAGATGTCCAACAAGCTATGCATGCTGAGCTTGAGGGGATCCCCAGCTGGAACTCCTGCAGCACGTAAGCCCGAATTCCTAGTTGTGACATACTTGGAAGAATGTGTACATGATCAATTAGTAATCTAAATTTCCATTTCCAGGGTTATGAAATATGACAGCAACAATTTGGAGATCTCGACAGTTGGGATCTTGGGCTCGTTGGTGGGATCGGGGATTCGAGTACTAGTGTACAGCGGGGATCAAGATTCAGTTATTCCATTCTTCGGGACGAGGAAACTGGTGAATCGTTTGGCAACAGGGATGGGGTTGAACACTACCGTGCCATACAAGGCATGGTTTGATTTTGACAAACAGGTGGGTGGATGGACACAAGTCTATGGGGAGAACAATAAGCTGTCATTTGCAACCATTAGAGGAGCCTCTCACATGGCTCCTTTCTCCTCTCTCGCATTATTTGCAGCATTTGTTGATGGGAAACCATTGGCAGCTTGACCTCCCTCTAACATGGAAACCATTGACAGCTTGATCTAATTTACACCCTGAATCTGTCCAAACTGTAATTTCAATATTCTTGAGGCAACCATTATGCCCATCCTTGTATTAACAATGATCTTATGTCACATTTGAATCAAGAAATCAATTACATGGAATGGAAGACTACTGTTTCATTGCCTCCAGAACCTATACAAAAGGGAGTTCATGTATGGTCAGTCCTCGTCAGTTCATGAATGATAACTTGTTTGACATCTAGAGCTTGCTATGAAACAAAAAGGTATTTGGAGTCTAGGAAGACTGATCAAAGCAATTCAGAAGGGTCTTGAAGGGTATGAACAGCAAGAAAACCACTTCATCAAAGACAACGTTGAGACGATCACCATGTTGACCGGAAGCTGAAATCTGCTGTTTGTTGAGGCTCTGGAGTGCCTGTTCTCGTTCATTTCTCAATAAATCTCCAAGTCTAGCAGCTGGTTATTGTCTCCAAGCTGAAGCCGTTGTTGAGGCTCTGGAGTGCTCGTTGCCATTCATTCCTCAATAAGTCTCCTGGCCTAGCAGCTGGTCATTGTCTCCAAGCTGAAACAGGTTTCTGCAGCAAGCGTGAAAGACTTTGCAGAGGTGGATGCATGTCTGAAGATGAACAAATCCAGTGAGGACATCCAACTTCATCTCAAGAACTCGGAGCCATGCATTCAAGATATCGAGGAAGGTGTCTGAGTGCCACTTTAGGCATTTGATTAAACCTAGAGCTTAAGTTCTCAACATCCACAACCTGTAGTTACATCATGCAAACCAATTCCATGGTGAAAATTATGCTCTTCTCATTTTAGTTTATGGCTCCTTATACTTCCTCTCCAGTTTAGTTACCTTCTGCTTTGAAAAGTGACTGCAAATTTTTCCTGTCATCAATACTGAAAAGTTCTGAATATGTTATGAGCTAAACCAAGATAAAATTAAAGAGGCATTCACTTGAAAGACTACCAGAAATCCGTGTTTGAGCTTTTCTGAGACTGAGATGGTTCATTGCGCTTCTCTACCACATCGTCTAAAACCAGAAAGATAGCAGTAGGGCTTGGAATAAGATGGAAGCTCGGGCCATTGTTCAAAGCATACCTTTCTCGGCCTTTTGGCTAAGATCAAGTGTAGTATCTGTTCTTATCAGTTTAATATCTGATACGTGGGCCAATGGCCCACACGATATTAAATTAATTTTTATAGGGGGAGAGGCCCACTACTGGAGCTTGCTTCAGGGGCCTTCTCGCGTGTCGCCCTTGCGTTGCACTATTGCATGGGCCTGGCGCACCCCACCAATTCCAGTCCAAATTTTCATATAGAAATTTTCATCTTTCTATATCTCGGCCGAATTCCTTGAGTTTAATTAATATTCAACCTGCTTCCGCTCAGCTTTTTGGGCCGTATCAACTGCCGAATTTGACTTAACCCAGATAAAGTGAGGCACTTGACGTCTTCAGAAAAGCGTTACAGTGCCCAAATGGCGACCATGAACCTGGATCCATCTATAAGTAACAAAAGCTGCAAATCCCATTTTTTCATCACTTCTGTGACCAACCATACAACTAGCTCCTCTGAAAATTTAAGAGCTTCTTCACCGCCAAAATGGGCTCTCGTTTATGGATTGTTATGTTTATTATTTTTGCAACTTGCACTGTGATTGGCGGAACGGTTGAGGCTTCATTTGAGGATGGTAAGATTGTGAAGCTGCCAGGGCAGCCAGAAGTTAGCTTCCAACAGTATTCAGGGTATGTTGTTGTTGATGAAACCCAGCAGAGGAAGCTCTTCTACTACTTTGTTGAAGCTTAGACAAACTCTACTTCCAAGCCTCTCGTTCCGTGGCTAAATGGTGGTGCGCTAGTTGATTATCCACATTTTGATGCAATCCTTTTATCATCTTTGATCCTTTTCTTTCGACTATAAGTTTTAAGTATTATAGTAAAGACTTATTTTTTTCTTCTGCTTTAAGAATGATTTGAGGTTGGTGAGTTATGCTAATAGGGGCAGGGTGTTCCTCTATTGGAACTTGAGCTTTCACAGAGCATGGCCCTTTCAAGACAACTGGTTCAGGAGCTCTCCTGAGAAATGACTGCAGTTGGAACAAAGGTGTCATCACATTAATCTCAACTTGGATATAGTTATGTACTTCTCTTTTGAGTTCTTCATTTTTGTACTATAAACTAGTAGCTGACTTTTTTTCTGCTGCAGAAGCAAACATGTTGTACTTGGAATCACCAGCCGGGGTTGGATTCTCTTATTCTGCCAATACCTCGTTCTATGAATTAGTAAATGACACCATAACAGGTTCAGTCTGAAACATAGACTAATCGTCGAATTCTCAAACTGAAATAACTTGTCGGATTAACAGAATCCAGCTGGGTTGTCTATTCACTTCTTATTATCGTCAAAAGACAACTTGGCATTCCTACAACAATGGCTAACCAAATTTCCTGAATACAAGAACCGATATCTTTATCTCACAAGAGAAAGCTATGCTGGTATGTTAATTCTAGAATCCGTTGTTAAGGGAGCATCTGGTTCAAATCTTTATAATTTTGGTTATATTTATACTTTCCCTAACAAGACACTATGTCCCACAACTAACACAGCTAATCGTGGAGTCAGGGTCAAATCTCAGCTTAAAAGGCATAATAGTAAGTTCACCTGCCAAAATATACATTGACATATCGGCAAATCGTGATGTTTGAATGACGAGTCATTGAGTCTCTTCTCGTGTTGCGTTGTGTTGTAATTTTCAATTTTTGGAGTTCAACACATATTTCAACGGAGAAGGAAATCTATACTGGTCTCACAGCTTGATATCGGACCATACCTATCACCTTGTCAACAAAATGGCAACACCTCCCAGATCAGGAGATAGGCTGCTTCAAACTCTTTCTTCGAGCCTTGTAAAATATTTGCAACCCAACTTGGTACAGAAAATGCCTAGCCAGAACTTCGACATATATGACATCACTTCAGATGTATGTTTAGCAAACGATAATGGGTCATCATCATCTAAACAGTCTTTGGAAGCAACTTTGCATCCCTCAAGTCCAGCCAGAGAACTAGCAGAAATCTGGTATAAGTTATTCTTGACCATGATCAACACAAATGTACCCGAATCAACGATAAATGCAGCAATTCTCATCATTGCTGGGTTTTGGATCTGTCTAGTCAATGGAGAAAGTTGGAGATTCGGCCATAGACCTCTATGCAGAAGGCAAAACGGACAAGTACTTGAACAGGAAAGATGTTCAGCATGCTATGCATGCCCACCTTGTAGGCATCCCCACCTGGAGAAGCTGCAACTAGAGTTGCTTCTTCTTCTATTTAAGGTATCAACTAGACCAGCTCGCTATAGTTGCTTCTTCTTCTATATAAGGTATCAACTATCAACGTTTCGACTTCACTTGCAGTGTGATGACCTATGACCGAAACAATTTGGAGAATCCGACTATTGGAGTGGTGGGATCATTGGTGAGTTCAGGAATCCAGGTACTAGTTTATATCGTGGATCAAGACTCGGTGCTGCCATTCATTGGGAAGAGGACTTTGGTGAATCGTCTGGCCAAACAGATGGGTCTGAACACAACTGTGTCATACAGGCCATGGTTTGATGGTGAAATGCAGGTAGCTTTCTGCCACCATTTTTGCTGCTAATCCGCCAATCTACATTATCTATTACATAACTATTAACTTCCTTTTCCTGTTTCCATGATTCAAGTTGGTGTATGGACACATGTTTATTGTGGGAATAAGCTTGCATTTGCAACTATAAGAGGAGCTTCTCACCTTGCCCCATTCTCATCACCAAAGAGATCCCTCTCATTGTTTGCTATTTTTCTAGATAGGAAATCTTTGGCAACTTGAGATATCTCAGCCGGCCGCCTTGGAATATTGTAGCCTTTTGACAATCCGTTGCAAACTGGGATTTCTCCAAGTTGTAATTATTTCAATGATTCTCTTTTTTCTCTGTACTGAGGCATGTAAGATGTCTCCAAAGTTTCAGCATATACAATTGTGTTCAGAGTAAAGAAACAAACACAAAGAACCTCAATTCATGAAGGCTGAAAATAAGATAGAAGATGATAGCAGCTTGAGGAAAGTGTTCGACTGTAAATAAGATGGAAGATATGGTTTAGAAGTGGAAGTGGATAAAATACCACATAGGAACCGATGAGAGATTTAAGAAGGGGTTAGAGGAATAAATTGATGGTTAAGTGCAACTTGAAAACATACTTACCTGGATGGGATCTACAAGTGATCATTAAGGCTTGTGGTTTGGGCCAATGACCTCCATTGCACTTTTGGAGGGGCGTTGGGCTAAGATCTCCCCATAGTGGGAGAGCCTACATCATAATTTGTGGCAGAGGGGGCCTGCGTTCGCGCGGCCCCTACCCAATATAAGTTCAATTAAATTCTTCGTGGCCCACCTTGCTTAAGGTGTTTGGCCCAATAGATTCCTGCTGCTAATTGTTGTTTGCGATGCACAATAAATGGCACATTGACATTTTATATTGACATTTTATAGTTCTTAGGTTGAGATGTATTTTATGATGTTTGTATGTGTTAAAAGAACTTGAAACGAGTGTTAGATTGAAATGAAGTTTCGAGGTTAATATTTACTAGATTTTTGGCCCACGCTTTGACTTAGTTGAAATTGAAATCATTCAAAAAATCATTAAGAGTAAGAAAATCTCATAAGGTTTATGTATTTTTTTAAGCACGAATGAATATATCGTAATATGTTTGTTTAATTGTACATAAGAAAGCATTGTCTCTTCTTGAGTGTTTAGTTGCTTTGCGGTTTTTTCGTATGCAATAGTGTTTTTACACTTGTGTTTTTAATTAATTAGTTAATTAATTATTATTATATGACTTCTAATCTGGAGTTTGGTTAAAGGAAAGCTAGTTAGTAGTTACAATGTGGTGTTGCTCAGTTTACGGCCTTGTTTCGTCGCCAAAACAATCCAAATAGCACTTCCAATTCACCAAAAATTTAAACCAACGTGATTTTCACACAATAGTTTGAGAAAGTGAGAGATACCCATCACACACCAAAAATTTACAAGCATCATGTCTTACACACAATTTCAACCAAAATTTTGTCTCGATACCCATCACACACACAACACAAAGCATGCTATTTTCTATTCACATGGTGAATGTACCCATCACCTGATGATTGCATCAAATCTACTTACTTAACTAGCCATATAATTCTCTAACAAACTGATCAAATTTAGATATTGAATCTCATTCACCGTCTCTCTGTAGTTTACCTACAACATAATTAATATTTGAATGAGAAACCATTTATTGCTAAAACAAATTTACACCACTCTACTAAAAACCGGTATCCTCAACATGCGGGACACCGTTGCGGTGATTTTTCTAGAATCCAAAAGTAATGCACAAGTATACTGTTGCGATTGTCATATTGCTGATTTTTTAACATAAGGAGGCCTTATAAGTTGTCGACAACTAAAATCATGTTCCTCACATGGTAAATAAGGAACATTCACTTGTTTGGGTTTTCATGGGTTCAAGTAAATAGTTCCTTCTAGTTATGCATGCCCAGCTTATAGCAATATCAGTATATGGAGTGCTTGTACCCAGCAAGAACAAGATTGCTACCCTCATCAAGTGGGAGTGCTATAGAAATTGTTGCACTCAGCTTGCTCTCTCTAATGATCAATTTGTGATACTGCAGCGGTATAAAGTACGATGAGAACAACCTGGTGAATCGTCTCTCTGAACAGTTTGGTTTGAACACTAGTCTGCCTTACAAGCCCTGGTTTGATGATGACAAGCAGGTTATATATGACTCTTGGCCCATCCAACTAAGTAAAGGATTGATCTCGTTTTCTTCTTCTTTTCTAAATCCAACACATGTTCATGAAATCACTCTCCTCTGGATGTTTACAGATGGGTGGATGGACACAAGACTAAGGAGAGAACAACAAAACTTGCATATGCAACGATTAGAGGAGCTTCTCCAAACAGTATTATTCTATAGAAACTACACATAAACTGATAAACATTTGATAACATATACTTTCTAAGAGCAGACCAACTCCTCTTAATGATCGATCATCTTAGCATTCTCGTTGCCACTACCCTAATCATCCCAACTCATACCCTTGTGCAACCTTAAGAACATGGGGCCAAACTCTTCATGATCATCTTAACATTCAAATGAATTCTGCAAATAAAAAGGAACAAACACTTGTTTCCTTGTGATGGATCGATCTATAAATAGTAGAAGGTGCAAAATTCCTTCACATTGAACTAACTAAACCACTACCTGCACAACTCTTGTCAAACTTGGAGCTTTTTCACCAAGGCAGTCTCTCAGCTACGGACTGCTGTGCTTATGATTTCTGCAACTTTCGCGATGAATTGCAGGACCGTCGAGTCAGCATATGAAGATGATAAGACCGTGAGGCTACTAGGGTCATAGACCGTGAGGCTACTTGGAGCCCTCAAATCTCAAGATTTGGACAGTGGACTAGGCTCCAAGCACACATATATACATTCCAATCGATACAAAGCACCCCCCCCCCCCCCACACTTAAGCACGACATTGCCCTCAATGGAGCAGAGGGATAGAGAAGGGGAACGATGTTACCGGATTTAAACTGCTGGGGGACTGGAAGTGGACCAGTCAGCGAGAAACAACCGGGAAGATGGACAGTTCTGCACGCATCGAACACCCAGAACACACTAGCACACTATGCGTTAGGGATAAGTGTTAGCCCAGACGGCTACAACAGAAACAATCCACAAAAGAAACAAACAAAAACAAACGACACTAAGTTCAAGCTCCTCACACATGGAGCAAACACACACAAGTCTAAAACGAAAAACAAAACACACTGAGATGGGCAACGAGTACAGCCTACTCGTCGCCGAGGTCGTCCAGATTGAAGTTGATGTCGTTCATGAAGGCGTCACCACCATCGGCACCATCATCACCATCCGCAGGGGGAGGTGGAAGTGGAGAGTCCTCCCAGGGAGTCCTCCAGACTGGCTGCTCGCCCGGTAGCAGCTGGAGCAGATGCTGCTGGACCTCCTGCATGCGCCGAGAACGGCGCCTCTCTCGCTCGATGTGGGCGAGAGTCACTCCCTGCTGGGTCTGGAGCTGGTCCAATCTCTCATCGTAACCCGCCATCCTCTGGTGGTACTCGGCCTGGTAGGCCGCGTACTGCTGCTGGAACTGCATCTGATGGTCGATGATCTGCTGGTTCTGAAGACGCAGCTGCTCGAACTGGGAGGTGAAGTAATCCTGCCCCGGGAAACTGGAACTGCCACCCCCGTACTCGAAGGTGGTGGGGCGGGCAGCAGCAGTGTCATCCACGCCCTCGGGCTGGACCTCCTCATCAGCTGCACCCTCGAGAGCCTCCTGCTGGACCGCCTCTGGAATCTGGGGTTGAGGAAACCCCTCGATCCACATGACTCCTCGATCTTCTCGAAGCAGGAGCATCTTGGTGAGCGTAGCCAGGCCAAAGGGAGTGGCCGCTCCCTGCTCCGTGCACCCCTGCAGGGATATCTGGAAATACTCTGCCAGGCAGGTGATGAGAGGAGTGCAGCGGAGTCTCTTCAGCTCAGAAGCACTCTTCTCGAAGGTCCTCGCCACCACCGAGCCTAAGTGCAGGGGATGATCCCTCTGGCGCATGGACTGAATGAAGTACAGGGATCGCTTGGTGATGGCGCTGGCACTGTCTGATGCTGGGGTGTAAGACTTGGCCAGCAGGTGATGGAGGAGACGGTTTTCGAGCTGCAATGTGGTGGCCTTCGTCTTCCCCGCCTTGAAGGGAAGCTGACGTGGCCGAGCGAGGCTGTAGTACAGCCTCCCGAAGTCCACCCCTACTGGCTCGGCGACCTCTGTGATGAAGTTCCTGTCATTTACCAAGTTGAGGCACAGGGCGTCCGCCAGCTCGTCGTAACTCATAGAGTGTGGTTCACCCCCGAGTCGGAACTGGACTGCAGCTTCATCCTTCCAATCATCCGTGGCTGCGTGCCTGAAGGTGGTGTAGAACTCAAGCACGAGCTCATAGTAAACCGTCGCGCGGATGCTGAGTAGGCGGCGCCAGTATTTGTTGGTGACAACGGGGGAGAGGTGCTCGTAGCAGTTGAGCTTTTCCAACTCGCGCTTCGACCAGTAATGGTGCTGCCCAAACTTGCAGGCCAGGACGTTCTGAAAACGATCCCGATGGGCCCCCTTCTCAAATCCTGAACATACTGATGCCGGAGGTTGGGCTTCGACATGATCCTGCAAAAGAACAGCCCAAAGTGGAACCAAAACAGCCAAGGAAAATGTTAATCACACCCCACACTTAAGAACAGAAAAACAGCCTAACCATGGTTTCATCCATAGTTCGGGGGTCAGAAACTCAATAAATCAAGCATAATCTGAGTGGGGTTGCACATTCACGATAAAATAGGCAACTTAAGGTTCACATCCATACCAAATACACCCTCAAAGCACATCATTAAGGGCCCCAACCGACCCCCACAAAATGGTACGAAAACAGGCATTTCATCGAACACCTTGTGTGCACTATTAAGATAAACATGAAATTGGCACAATTCTTGCACACAAGGGCTCAAACAATCAAGAGGGACTTTGCCCAACACAATTCAAACACACTCCATGCATTCCCCTCAATCAATTGCACAAAAATCACAAGATTCAATGAGGTTCTCTAAACATGCACCCTAACACCCAATTCTCCACAATTAACATAGTTAAGGCCAAAATCAAACCTGGAGACTCAAGTAGAGGTGTAGGGGATGATGAGGGGAAGGCGATGGAAGCGACGAAAAGCCGAAAAAGTGCCCGGAAGTGCTCGTCGGAGCCTCGCCGGAGTTTCGCCGGAAATCGCCTCCGGCGACAAAAACGTCGGCCAAATATGCTCAAAATGGAGGGATAGGCCGCTTTTGGTGGAGGAAGGGTGCGTTGTTGTTGGTTTGGTGAAAAGATGACAAAAAATGGCCGAAAAAATCAAAAAGTAGGGTTTTTGCGCGATTTTCCGGCGAGGGGTTTGAAATTTTCTGACGACCCGGCCGTGCTGGCCGAATAAATAGGCCGTGTCTCGGCCACACGGCCAGACCCGCACGGCCGTGTCGCATGTATTTTTGCCCGTGTCGGCCGACACGGCCTGGCCGAGGAATGTCACTCGGCCGTGCCATGTGCTCATTTGCCCGTGCCATATTCTGCGAGAGCAGACACGGCCAGGGCACTACTACACACGGCCGTGCTGTCAAATGATTTTCCCGTGTCGGCCGCACGGCCAGGCTAGGCCGATCCACACGGCCGTGCCATTTGCACATTTGGCCGTGTAGAAATTGCCGAGAGCTCACACGGCCAATGGAAGGTATCCACACGGCCGTGTGAGTTTAAGGCTTGGCCGTGTGAACTGCTGGAGCCCCAAAATCAACCTGTTTTCACTCAAAAACGATATTCGACTCTGGAAGAACATCTCAAGACTCAAAAAACACAAAAATCAAAAAGAAAAAGGTAAGAAAATGCAAACCTAGGTGGGGTTGCCTCCCCACAAGCGCTTCTTTACCGTATTTTAGCTGGACGCCAGTAGAGGAACTAAGGGTCCTCGAGCTTGATCAGCAGTTCTGCGCGCTCGACAGCACCTCCCAAATACAACTTTAGGAGGTGGCCATTCACCTTGAATGGCTCGGTTTGAGCATT